CTGGGGGGGGTCTTGGGGTCCGGGCAGGCGAGGCGAGCTGTGGCTCGGGCGGGCATGACTTGGCAGTGCGCGCTGCGCGCTGCGCTGACAAGGCGAGGGTGACAGGAGGGCGGGAGGGGAGGGGGAGGCGCGAAACCAGTCTGCAGTAGTAGCGGCGGCCGAATCCGGAATAGGTACACACGTTTCGAGGCGTAGGCTAGTAGACTTGGTCGCGGCCAGCGAGCGTCTCGTGACGGACAAAGATGTTATTGTGGATTAAAATGAAAAAAAGAAAAGAGAATTGCGCGGATGAGGTGGAGCAGGGAGGTGTGGAGAAGGAAAAGGGGGGGGGGGATTAGAACGTGCGACCGCTTCCTTCTCCCCCCCTGGTCTTATTGTTTTGCGTATGACCCGCGGCAGATAAGGCGCACTGATGTGGACGATAAGTTGGAGAGAGGAGAAAGAGCGAGTCGGCCGGCGGGAAGTGGGGCGTAAGGCGTTAAAGGGGGAGGCTCGCCGCGCCTGCTGCGCGCGGAGCACCGCGGGGGTCCCTGCTGACGTCCACACCGGTCCGGAGAAAATAAATACAAATCGGGCTGATCGCTTTGCCACGCTCTTCTTCCCAGTTCAACCAGAGGGGGGGTCGGAGTAAAGCAAGATATGTGCTCAGAGTCCGGGCGGCCATTCAGTTTGTGAGCATGACCATAAGCATAGGTAACCATGCATGTCAATGTCAAACAGATAGTAGATCTCCATTTCTACGGGAATATATTACACAACATAAAAAGTGTACATGACATATACAACATCTCGTCAATGATGATTTGCATGCAACAGTACAGCGAAACAGAATCCAGCAAAATATGACACACAAATTCACAAGCACACATTTGCAAACTGACCTGCTAGGGCGCCAGCGTCAGGTCTCGAAACTTCACCTGCCATCTCCGCTCCTTTGCCTGCCGACACAACACCACCACTCATTCATCCCGTGCAAGCATCACAATCGCACTATCATGGTGCAAAGCCTGTGCAACTTGTGCCAAGCGCCACATTCTTTCTGTGAAAAAGCACCCTCATGATCTAAGCTGTGGATAAGCCCCGTTTGATGACCTTGTTTAATTGTTTATAGGAGATGCAATGTGAAATTGAATGATGAAAGACTGCTTTCATAGCAGTACAAAGGAAGCAAACTCAGAGTTGACTAGTGCCAATTGCACAACTTGTACAGACAACGACTTGAAATGAATCTTATATTTAAGGTGAGAATTCATTTACAATTGCATAATTTTCCAAGGTTTAGAGTGTAGTACGCATAAGGAAGGAAGTGGTAATGTTTCCGTAGATTAACGACTTACGTTTCAAGCTGGCAAAGTGCAAAACGTTTACACTATTCTTCAAATTTTTCGACTTTCTTCTTTACCCATCCATTTGGACAGGTAGAATATCCTGTAAAAAAAGTAGGACATAAAAATTTAGACAAAACATGAAGAAATCCAAATAGTGAAAGAAATCCAATTTTACACATCAAGTAGGCAGTCTCGACCACAAAAGCAGCAAACACTGTTATCTGATATTAACACTAAGTGCAAACAGCATGTCAGTTGAAAATCAGAGAACTTATAAACACAGAATAAAACTTATCGACATTTATCAAAAATGGGTTTTAAAACGGTAACCTCAAAATATTCAGATCTTTCCATCAACACAAATTCTAATGCACAATGTCCTTTATATAGTAAAGAAGTGAAGAAAGAGTAAAAATTCAATTTAACTGTTTCATTCACGAATTTTCTAGCTCGGCAAAATTAGACACAAAGAAAAGAAACAGAATTGAGACTACAGGGCTCAGTGACAAGTCATCACAAAGCAAAACACAGTTGGACTTTGACAGTTCGGGAGTAGCATACTGATCAGAGAGCTAAAGGCTAATCGTATGACAGTGGAAATTTCGAAAGCAGGACACTTCTGATTAGCTTACCAGAGATAACATCCAATGGTACTGTTAACAGTACCAGATTCCACTTATGTGATGTGATTTGCTTTTCTCAGAAAGGGTCTGCTGAACGTTACAATGAGCTGCAATGCGAGGCTCACTGGCAAAATGACTGAAAATTTGCTTGCAAAACAAATTTTTGACAGTTTCCTTCAAAAAATCACAAAAGTAGCTCAAATCCCTACATACGAAATTCTTTCTTCGATTTGCGAATAAATTGCAGCACTTGTTATTGTTCTTCTTGAGGAAACATCGCCTTCAGAGAAAACAGAAGGTTCTGCTACGGGTACAGTTTAGGGATACAAGGCACATTAGGAGCTGACAACATTTGCAGAAAATCTACATCAATAAATGTGTCATTCTAGATAACAAATCACTTAATACGTATCCTTTTTATGACTTAAATAGTTTTTGAAACATATAATTAAAACTCCAAAGGCCATATCAAATGTTTGCATTTCTTTTCCAAGAAAGAACAGCTGATTGCGCGGTTGTCGGCGCCGTACGATCAGATGTTCTGAGACAGTTGACAGCAGGTCCACATATGTTCTGCTGTTTACAAACATCATATCTCCAGTTATTTAACCGACTCTTTAACGATGTCCACGGAAAGTACAGGGGATCGGGAGGGTTCCGATCATTCAGCGGACGCAGATTCTCATCATGCTATGGATTATTACTCAAAAGAAGATGAAAATGACTCTATAAACGTGAAGGAGGAGAGTTTCAGACATGAATCAGAGGGAGAAGATAAGGTTATTATTGGTATAGATCCAGATGCACCAATGTTTCCTGATCCGGATAATGACAATTATCACCACAGTGATAGCAATGATGATGATCATAGTCAAAGTAGAGATGGCAATGGAGAGACCTCTGGAGGATTTGACAACTTGGACGTACAGCCGATGGAGCTTGAGCAAATGGGAGGAGAACAGTTTAGCTTTCTAGAAACGGATATGATGGGATTATTACCAAGTTTGTCGCTCGCTCCGGCCCCTCCTATGCAGGATAAAGAGAAAGAAAAGGAAAAGGAAAAGAAGAGAGAAAAGACAAGAAAAGAAATTGAGGAGGAGGAACGAGAAAAAATGCAGTAAGTTCACCAACAACATTTTAACGTAGAAGTTCTCGACAATTTTCTTTACATTTATAATTCAGCTTATTACATGGCACCTTTCTCTTTCAATGTCTGCTTCTAGAGTGCTTGTCTCAAACTTTACCTCTGAGCAACTTGACCGATATGAAATGTACAGACGATCAGCATTTCCTAAAGCAGCTATAAAGCGGGTAAGTCTCTTGAAGTTGGCGTTTATTCTGGAAGCTGGCTCGTATTCCGCCAGTAATCATGAAATACCCAAGCAAGACCACTGGTCTTCCCCCCTCAATCATGCGTGCCACGCGCCGTGCTTCCACGCGAACCGCCTCCGCCTCTTGCTCGTTGGGTTGCCTGTCTTCAGGCGCTACCCACCGCTCGCACCACTGTCCGCTCGTGTGTCTGTTGCAGCTGATGCAGACCATCACGGGCAGCTCCGTGTCGCAGAACGTGGTCATCGCCATGTCCGGGATCTCAAAAGTGTTCGTCGGGGAGGTGGTGGAGGAAGGTGGGCGTCGTTGCCGTTCAGTGCAGAGTGCCGTTTGGAGCAGCCGGTTGTCATTCCCGTCTTTGTGTTGCAGCGCTGGACGTGATGGACGGAATGGGCGAGAGCGGAGCTCTGCAGCCGAAACACCTGCGGGAGGCGGTGCGTCGACTGCGGCTGAGACACAGCATGCCCGGAGGGAAGACCAAGAGAAAAGTTTTCTAATGCCCCTATGTAAATTTTCATTTATTTAAGAGAATATTTGTACATATTTTTATTAAATTTACTTCTTTTATTCGTGTTATTCTGCTGATCTAAATACTTAATCTATGCCTGCGACCACATTGAAGTCCGATACTTTGACACATTAGCGATTGTGTCATTCTCTACAGCAGCACAGCACCAATTTGCCTGCAATTAAAACCTTGGAGATAAAACTGCATCTGTTTGAAGCTGGCGCAACGCGGAAGCGGGGCAGAAGTCAAGAGCGACTCTTCCTTTTTGTCTTGCGATATCGACATAATACGTATTGAATCGAACGGAAATGAGAGAGTGAAGGATCCCATTCCGTCTCGTCGTGGTGGTTGTTGATCCGAAAGAGTTTCTTCTCTTGATTCCAAAGCAATACGACATAATCTGTGCTCATATCTGAGTTGTTTTTTGTTGTTGTTTTTTGCCGATACAAAACAATCTTTACTACGGAAAGCAGCCGACCCCACTTACCGCTGTGTAAGTTCCATGCCGTTTCATTTTATTTTCCCTCAATACGAGAGATATCACACAGTTTATCTCTTCTTGTTCGCCATCCGCTTGACAAAATTCTGTGCCAATGCCCAGCTGAGCGCACGGTTCTCTGCTGCCGCTCGTGCACCCCGGCGAACCCTTTGAGTTACCCCCCACCCCCCCTCTGTGTCTTTGGAGGACAAAGAGATGCCGTGAGGGAACTTATTCAGGGGCCCCCAAGGCAGGCGTCCCAGCGAGGGCGGGCGCGGCGTCTAGCCGGGTGGGGCTAGGTGGGGCCGCCGCCCATAGGCCCGCCGTCGGGGTCAGCGACCCCGCTTCCCCCTTCGTCGCGATGGTGCTCTACGCGAGGCCGGCTGAGCTCCACAGCGCCCCGTTGGCCGCCCTCTCTCTTGGGCTTGCGCCGCTCGCACCCTTTCCCTCATACGCGTGAATCGCGGTTCGCCACCGCTCGCTCGGGAGGTCAAACTCTACTCCGCGAGACGAATGGCCGCACTTCACTCGGTCAAGTCGAAAACCGTAAGAAGTGTGTGTGTGTGTGGGGGGGGGGGAGAAAACCAGCCGTGTTTATTTTGACAGCTGATAAAGAACAACATGAAAAAGAGTAAAGACCTCGGCACGATGGTGGACCCCACACCCCCTTTCCCCCGCTACTGCTAAATGGCGCAGTTCCCATTTTTTTGTGCAACGCCCGAGACTTGCTTTGGATATAGTGAACTGTTCCGGGTCAGACGAGAGACTGAAAGGAGCGAGAGAGACACACATCATCAAAACCCTTGGGTCCAATCGTCTCTGTCCGTCTCTCACTCTCTCTCACACATACACACACACACTAAAAAGTATTGGTACACGCCCTTCTTGTATTTCGCCATGCCATATTCAACTAGTGGGCTCAAACCAGGTTGCGTGCTTTAATTTTCTTGCCCCGTCGAGGACGGTGTCTTTGAAAGTGACGCCATCTTAAGCCGACCCCGCTTCGGGAGGGAAGACATCTGCCGTGCGGGATGGGGTGTGGGCGG